AACTGGCTTGCTAGCCAGCTAGCGAGGAGGCAGTTCACTATCGAGCCTTTAGATTACATTTATAATAACGACTAGACGCGCTGAGCTAACCACACTGAAGGGAATAATCGCCTCGGCTGATCGTGGATCCCGTTGATAGATTTCGGGGAAAAAGGGAGATCAAGCGAAATGTTCAGAGAAGCGCCGGGTAGTTTATAAATAAAACCGTCACCCTGCGCATGATCCAGAGTAAACATTTCGCCTGAGGAGAATCTACAGCGGCTATTTCACGCATTCGGCAGACAATTCATGCGTCTCTGGCTTGCTCGTGGATCTCGTTGTGGAGTTACGAGCACCACACACTATGATGGGGAGTAGAGGGACGAGCGGAGAACAACAACGACCACGGCCTCGCATTTCCCCGCTCTTTCGTAGTTGTTGGGGTTCTGCCGTGCGGTCTGGAAGGCTTGTGAGCCACTTCGAGTGAGTCAGCCTTCTGTTTTTTCTGATTATGATGTCCCAAGGTCAAGAGTGTGGCAAACCAAGTTCATGGAGTCGAGGAGCAAGCACTCGCGGATCTCCTCTGACGCAATTCGTCGTCCGCAAACGCCGAAGCTTGCGGGTGAAAAATTCCGTCGAGTGAACTCTCCGCTTTGCTTCAGGATCTGGTCTGTCAGTCGAAAAAACACCCCGCGCGGAGTACGCACCCGTCATGCATGACGAAATATCTCGCTGCGCGAGGAACGAGAATGAGACTGAGGTATCATAGACGTTCAGAACTACAGTGATTTGTACCTATCTACGAAAAAGGGGATCTGGCGTCTGGTCCCTCCTGGCGGATTGATAAGCGCTCACAAGATATTGAACTCTACGAATGGCGGTGGGGCAGGAACTCGGCTGCCTCCGATTTTCCTTTGCGACGGGGCGGCATCATTCCACGAAATTCTTCAAAGTTCCTCGATCAACGAGCGACGGAGTTCTGTAATATTTCATCGTAGTGCGAAGATTGGAGCAATCGTGCACCGATATTATCACAACGAGTTCGTCTCTTCCGTTGCGGGTGGATTCCGACTGGGGTAGCGCAGGTAATTCTTTTCTGATCAAAATCAGCGAATCTGAGGGGGAAGGGCGTTCTGCGTCGCCAATCAGAAGCCTGTGCGAAAACCGAATCATCAGAGACGGAGCCCGAGTGACATCTTCTATCAACGGGCTACGATTCGTCGATGAATCCAACGTAATCTTCGTCGGTTTTTTTTCTGTGGTGGTGTCTCGTCCCCTTTAATCGGTAACCGTCGCATGAGGGAACATCTAGAACAGACGAGCAGGCGGACGAACGACGCAATCTCCCCCCGCTAAGGCTATCGGTGCTCGTGAGGCCGCCTGCTCCTGGCTTGGGCGTTACAAGATACCGCAGGCATTACGGTCAAACAGAATGCGGATCATTCTTTTCCCGTTCTTTTAAGCTTATTTCTGCTGTTCAGATGGCTGTGTCGGCAACGAGCGTATTGCGGGGGCGGCACTAAAAGCAAAAGACATTTTCGCTCCGAGAAACTCCAGAAATTTATTACGGGTCTTCCGCGGTGTTCACTGAGCTTGACGTATATCTTAAGTACGATAAAAGCATTTTTACTTTTTTTTCGCTTCTTGCCCAGCCCCTCTACCTAATACGGAGCATCGCGCGTTATTATATTTCATCATGATTTTTTCGAAGAAAGAAGATCAACGGGGAGGCGTGACCCGGGCTCGGCTGTGTGTATCCACGACTGGTCGAATTCTCTCTCAGAAATTTTATCCTGCGAGTTCCACGGGGAAAAAATGATATTTCGATCTCCGACAATGTCTCCATCGATAATTCAGCGCCGTATTTGAGCTCTCGCGCGCCTGAAAGTTTACGCGCAAACCCGTGGGAGGGAGTTCGTGTGCTTCGCGGCATGTTACGCTCGTTGCCGTAGACGGCGCCACCTACCCTTGATCCCGCGGGAAGTTACTCCGTCCGAGCCGTACCCCCTCTGGGATGAGAACGGTGGTCGTCCTGCCTTCTACCCTCGATGAAGCAGATTGGCAATTGGTTGAATTGATGGCACAATCTTCCTAATTACAGGCCGCTTATCTGTCCGTCTGTTCAAGTGCGCAGTTTCTGGCCGATGTTGATCGCAGCAATTCTTGCTCGTGCAAACAAAGCGGTCTGCCGGGAGAAGACCGCAATTGCCTCCACCGAGCCCCAGAGCTCACCGATACTCTACGAGAATAGCCCGCCCGATGAGAATACCACGGGCGAAGTTCCACAAGGATCATTTGTCAGATCTACGAATCATTGCGAGTCACGAAGAAGACTCGACCATCGTCGGATCGCTGACTTCATTAAGCTCGTACCCTAATCCATGATTCCATTTGAATTCAGGCTCCCCAGGGTTAAGAAACCTTCGCGGCGGCGAGTGCGGTTCTGCCGACCAACGATGCTGTGACACGGTGCTGAGGGGATCGAAAGGTCGGAGGGCTCCATTATCCGCGGGTTTTCTCCGAAACGATGGTACACCAACTTTTCCCCAAGTCAGTCGAAACTTTGGCGGCAGGATCTCAAGGCTGGCAGGCGGGAAGAAGTTTCCGTTCGTTCGTATGATGGCGGTTCTGTCCTCGGTCTATCCTTTCAGACCGAAAGCTGCCGGGAAGACGCTGAAAACGCTAATGTGTTTTATCTCGCACTCGCTTCCGTCTCCGCGGGCCATGGATGACTGTGGTTGGTCTCACAAGACGTAGCTGGAGATCATTCACTACTCGTCAGCTCCTCCTCGTCGCAGGTTTTCTCCTCAGGGGCGATGTATCGATTCATTCCGCCCGCGCAAAGGCACAGAGTTCCTCGAGGAGGATTCCGTCTTTGAGAGACATCCATATTCCGATTCGCGATGCATGGAGCGCGGAAATTCCGACCGATAGTTCGAGAACCCGGAATTCGGTCGGAATCCCCGGGAGGTCATCCGAGGATCCGCGTTTCCCCTCCACATCGCTAAGGACGTCTGAGAGTTTGACGTATTACGTGGAAAAGTTTTCGAGTACTGGGACGAGGGAATAGAACATTCTAAACGCTTCATACTCTCATATACTCTCCTCATACTCTTTCGAACGGAAACCTCTCGGAAGATGGCCCCGAGAATCAGAAATTCGAGCCCGAGACGTGGTGTCTTTGAAAACTCCGAAAGGAAGTCCCATGGAGCAAATTGATGGACGTAGGGCCGCCGAGCGACCGAGTCGAAGAAGTATCGCAGTGAGGCTCGACAGTACGATACACGAGCCCCTATTTCCGAAGGCTATCTCGTTTTCCGTTGCGGTGTCATCGCATCGCGGAAGCAGGGAGCTCCTCCCGAAACTTCCTTTCAAAAGAACTAGACGACGTCGGATCCTGAGATATGTCCCCCCGCTTTTCGGGATGCCCACTCATAGAAAATCAAGAGCGCGTTCCTTCGACGACAGCCGAATAGAAAAACGGATCCTGTGTGACATATTCGGGGCTGTCGAGTGACCCCCTGGCCTGCCATGGATTGGAGAAAAGGACAGAAAATTACGATCGAGTAGGGCTCGTTGACGCTCGCGAGATTGGGGAGAGGCGGCTCACTATCTGGAGCGGATACGTTCTTCTTTGAGAGCGGCCGCAACAGCCGCTGCGATGGCAGAAGTTGAATTGGCCTTCATGTGTCGTTCAGCTCTGTCCCGCTTCCGCCTCATCGATCGCTCGCGACAACGGTCTATTTTAAATAGGCGTCCTTGACTATTTCTCCATGACCCAAATATTGGGAAAAACTTCATTTCGAGTGAAGATGAGCCTTCGAGACCTCATGTTCCGCACCAGACGAATAACAATCATTCCCACCCGGAGGGTTCCCCCGAGTGTGACTCGGCTGCAACCAGTCTGAGCGCCAGTGCAGAATCGGCTCGCGGTTTCCGGCGTTGCCACTGTCAGAGCTCAATCGGGCCGCTCCATTTCTGGTTTCAGACCGAATACGTCCGGGTTCAAACAGCCGCGATATCGTGGGCGATATCTCTAGAATGATATAATCCGCTAATCTAATGATGTTGCTAATCTGCAGATGATTCAGTTTCCTGTCTTTTTCACGGATGGGAGGTTGGCCGAGCGGGGCGCCGAAGGGAATGCCGATCGGTCGCGTCTCCCTAAATGGGGAAAAAAATTGTAGTCGACAGTATGACATGTCAGTACACGAATGAGGCTTTTCAAAGCGGTCGAACATGGAATTGATGAACGCGCCAACGTCCGCGACGAAATTCCCTGCAGAAGCCGCCCCGGAAGTCTTGGAGGGAACGACTCTTTGGAGAAGCTCGTTTCCCTCTCTCCCTCCCCTAAACTTTGTCTGTGCAAACGCTTCAATAATTTGATAGAGCCTAATCTCCACTGAGGTGTGTTCGGTCGGGCCTTCAAGGGAGTTCCTCGAAAGCTGATACAAGTAATCGACGTAAAAAGGATTCGGCCCAATGATCTAATCTTTGACGGCAGGCTTACGTGAGAGCCGGCCGAACGACAACGAAGAGAACGACGACGCCGAGGCGGCCGGAGAGGATCACAGTCCTCTGTCAATATTTGCTTGACCGCTCGGCTTCTGCTCGACCGGGTCTCAAAGCCGTCGTGACACTTGTGCTTGCCGGGAACTAAACTTTAGTCGGGGGCTTCAGCTTCTGACCCGACCGTCATCGATGCGATCGGGGAGCTTTCGCCGCGCCGAGACCGGAGCCGAAATTCCAGCGTGGGAGTCTTTCATGTTGTGGGAGCTTCCGAATCCAAATAGCGGAGCATCGTCTCGAATTTGAAACACATGTCGAGAAAAAATCGATTCTGAAAGCTCGGTAACCACTCTCCGTCTTCTTTCCCACGGATCTGTTTCCATTTTAAAGGAGCGGCTTGCGGTTTGTAGGCTCTCACGAACAAATCAAAGCAGCGCCTCGTTTCGAGTAGCCTGACTTTACTCGTCGTCATCGTCAAATCGCGCGATCTAATCTTAGGTCGTTTGTTGCAGGCGGACTCAACCGCAACGGAACGCTGCGGTCGTCGACAATCAAGAAGGTCGACCCTCCAAAAGTTCCAGACCTCGCCAACAACAACAATAACAACAACAACAACAGCAGTAGTGGCAACAACAACGCCAGCCACAACAGGCTCTCGTGTTACTCGACGTCGTCCGGCTCTTCGAACTCGTCGTCCGGGGGATCGTCCTGCGGGACCTACGAGAGCGACCCAGTGTACCATCACCCTCCGATATGTCCACCGTCGCCTGGTGAGTCGCGAAACGATCTTTCTCTGGTTCGCTTTCTTTGGTTTCGATTTCTCAACACCGGTTCCCTAGTAAAATTTCCGAAAATATGCTCAAGGAAAAACGAGCGAAACGTCGGGATGCTCCATTTTGTTCCCCCCGGAGAAGAGACGAGTCGAGACAAACCACGTTCGAAGATTCCGGCAGTGAGCAGCCCAAGGTTCGCCGAGTCGGGCTCGATCCAGGTTGACAGTGTCACCGTAAGGGCGGTCCTCGAGAGGAAGTTGATGACTCTTCTGCGCTCAGCTGTAGTTCGTCGATTCTGACGTTATGGTATGGTAGTCGGAGGACCGAAACGTAGTTAGCGTGATAGCGTGGATTGCCACCCGCATAGATCGCAGTGAGTGGGAGTCCTCTGCTGAGCGAAACTTGTGTCGACGCGCTCAGCAAAGTTGGACGTTCCTTCTTTCCTTGATTCCCCACCCACCTTTATTCTCGGAGTCTGCGCCACTCTCTCGTATCATGGAGCTCGCTCTTATTCATAGGGCGTCGGTTTCACGCCCATCCCTCTTATTCCTCGGAGCTATATACAATACTTTTATCACGGGATATCCTCAGCTCCTCCGCGGATCAGCTCGCTCTGCATCCTACGATCGATTCTCCGTCTTGGCACTTGGCGAGACAAAAGTTATAATCGTGAATTATATGAGAGCTATCGGGTCCCGTCAGTTCGTCGGCCCGTTTACCGACCAAATAACTGGTTCTCGACGATAGGGGAACCAGTTCAGACCCTTGGTTCTGCGCTCACTCGACCCAATTCGAGCTTCGGAATTCGGAACCATGTGCGCTCTACCGATGGTTGGCTAACCGCATCCCAACCGGTGGATCTGACCGAGGATCCGTGCGGGAGGTCGACTCTGCTTCTGTTTCCCATCTGCGTGCAGATGTCTACCTCACCTGCTGAGCGCCTCTCTGCTTTTGGGTAGGTATCTACAACTGACACGGCGTGGCGCTTGTTCTCGGTCACGTGGAATTGGAACAGTCTAACCGAGTTCTTCTTGACTCGATTATCTCCCGTCCAATCGCACACGCGGGGGGGAGCGCTCACAGCACTCGAGAGATGCCCCTTAATATGTCGGCAAGAAGCGAACTCAATCCACCTGCAACAGATTCTGCCGTTTCCTACCTTCACGATACCTCCCTCCGACGTCCTAATAGCTCCCAAGATCGCTAAAGGAAGAGCCGATGCCAATGGCTCGAAGGGGAACGAGGGTCTTTGCGCTCAACCGATGCCAACTGACCATCGGCCGAAGAGAGGACGCGAAGAATGCAATAATTGAATCCGATTGACGATGATGACACCTCCATACATGGAAACGATTCCTGCTCAGTGGTTGATGGTCCAGAGAGAAGTTCCGTCATCCCTACGAGCCGCCTCTCCAATCGTCATATCTTCCACGTCGTCGTACCTGACGGGACTCCATCCCTTCTTTCCGGCCATGAATTTTTCCTTCAGGCTTCCGGGAGTCCTCAAGTGCTTCGGAAGAAGTGTTCAGGTTTCGGCATAACCATGTGAGAATTCCGAGAAGGGTCCCTCTGCGAAACGCTGTATCCTTCTGCGGCAGTTCCCTGCATCCTTCCCGGCACTCCAGGAGATGGATGGCGCAACCCTTTTGTCGCTGTCTCACATCAGATTCACTCGTTATGGCGATGTAGCAATCCCTCGTATCGGACGCCGCAACTCGTAGCCGGGAGCGAGAACTCCGAGCCGGAGTTGTCAATTGCCTCGATCCGGCGGGAGCCGCACCACCCAGAAGGGGTTCACGCACCGCGAACTAAGTGAAAGCGAGAGAAGCTTGCTGAGCTGGTAGGTTGCTCCCGGGAACTCCGTGCTCTCGTTCATGGGCAAGCAGCTAAATGCTTGCTATGCATTTCCTCTTTAGCGCCCAGCTGGTTCTCGCGCGAAAAGCCTCTCACTCAGTGTTGTGCGGTAACTTCAAACTAGCACTCCCAACTCGAAACGATACACTCGTTACGAGGCTCTCGAAAGACGGTTCTTTCACCGTCTCCGTTATTGAAGTGGGACCGGCAAAGGAGAGTTCACGAAAAACCACAGGAGTCTAATGATCTCCGGTTCAGGAGATCAATCATCATCCAGATCGCTCGGGGAGAACTTGACTCGGGCGAGATTGCGCCAGCTTCGGGCGAGCTCGAGACCGGGAGTTGGCGGAAGCTGTCGATGGGGGGGGGGGGGCGGGCAACGGTCTAGAAGTCTACTCACTGGTGCATAAGGAGGCGTTCCAATTATCGCCTGCTCTAAATGAGACCGAGCTGACTCAGCGAATCGTCGCCGTCGCTACCTCTTCCGCCATCCTCCTGGACGACCGTCGATTGTGTCGGTATGCATCGTACGTCGAGTCGAATTCAATCATTGGGAAGACGCGGGAATTACGGTGAGCTTCAAAGACCACGTCGCCAGCGGTTCGACCTTGCCCCGGGTCAATTCCGACTGTCGCCCACGTCGGAACAGTTCGGAGAAAAAGAAAGAAAGTACTTGAGGGATAAGGTCGACGCTCACAAGCGAAGGTAAGATCGAGATCGGGCAGCTTCGCGTTATGGCTGTGTCTTCTCAGACGAGACAGGAAGCAATTCAGCGGGCCGCTATCTGTTTGCTCACCGCGGCTGCAGCGTACACTGGCAGTTATTTTGCGACCCGCCGCAATTCTGCTCCTCCGCCCCGACCTCCCTCGCCGCTCAGCCTGGGAAGAGGTGGAGGATTCAATGGAGGAAACATCTTGAAAAGAGATAGGGAGCGGACTAGAGTTTGGAGCACTTTTCTCTGTGTATTTGTTTTGCCGGAGTCGCTATCTCAGCCCCGACTAGTCGAATTATTTGCCTCCTCCCCTAAGTATCCTCATGCTCGTAGGGCAGCTTACCTTCGGTAGGCTCTGAGAACACAGATTCGCAATTGTCGAGTCTCCGGCTTTTGACGATCCATATAGTAGTGAGGAGGGGCGAAGGGAGGAGGGGAGAGTCGAATCGGAGAAGTCTCAAATTCTTCAGAGGATGCGTTGGATGATCATATTATGTATCTCGAGTACTTCCTCTCCGCTTTAGAGTGGGGTTCCGAAATCCTTCGGATAGCGCTCCACGCATTGACGACAAGCTTCGAACAGGAGGCGATGTGTACAAAGAAGTTCTCGAAACAAGCTCCCTTGTCCTACATACGCTCACGTTCCTCGTGCCGCTGTGCACGCACGTTCCGACGACTATCTGGCGGCACGGCGTTCCGACTCGTAATGGTGGTCTGTAGTCGGCGGATTTTGACCGGAGCCTCCATGCCACGTCGTACGTACACACATTCTATCGTTCTTCCGTCAGTCTGTCCATACGAAGCCTCGTAGGTGCCTCCGAAGAGGGGGAAGGAAAAGCTGGAATAGCTGAACAGTGGTCGACGGGAAGCATCGACTGCTGACGGCATCTGCCACACGCACCGTCGCTGTTGCGGTGCCGCACTGCGAGTTGCTGGCCACGCGTAGGTTGTACCTACTAGGCTCCCGTATCGGAAATTGCTCGTTGCTCCGCGGGAGGACGACGCCGAGTATCAAGAAGACGGACTCTGTCTGCGAAAACAGACTCCGTTGCTTGCCGCGATTAGCGTGGCCGTACGATTCCCGATCGTCCAGCGGAGCTCGGAGGCCGCCGCTGGAGCGTGGGCTGATGTTTGGATTTTCGGAGAACACCCGAATCAGGCTCTCTTCGTGCGCTCCTTGATCTCAACTGTGTTCGAGATCTCATCCTCAGGAGCGGGAGGAAAGATATTTAGAGTTCAGAACACATTTTCATTTCGCAAGTAGCAGTCGCCATTTCCATCCACGTCGCTCTATGCCCTGTTCGCCGAATCCTCGACGTCCTTCGCGGTATTCGGAGCGAAGAGCAAAGTTCCCGGCAGGCGGAGAGGGATTTTCGGCGTGTCCGCGAATGACGCCGCGCCGTCCTCAGGACTGGTAAAGCTGATAGAGAAAAAGCAAACGCTCCCATTTTCAACAAAAGTGGAATTCCATTTAGCTCCCTGAATTCCTCGAGGATGGTTGATATGACATCGTTCGAGCATTGTCCAGCCTTCTGCTCACGTACAGCGGCTGCCGCCGGAACTCTACATATACGGAGCGGAGTACGGATTCTCGGTCTGTTCACTTGCTTTGTTATCGTCGTCGTTATTGTTGTTGTTGGCGTTGATGCCCGTTCGAAAAAAGCTCCGGTCCGATCACATTGCGTTCCGCGAACGTCAGCACAACTCTTTGGCTGTTTGACAGTGCATGACAATACTTTTTCTCTTTTCCGCGCACTGAAGTTTTTTTCCCTCATTTATTCTCCTCCCCCGCCCACCTCGACACGATGACGAATCTCTGTCTCCATGAGGGCGAATAAGAGTCGAGCCCACATTCCGTCGGACCTCTAGCCATCGGAGGAAAAAGATTTCCGTGGAGTGGTGGAGGGGAATTTCGCTCGAAGTGCTGATATGGAGACCTTTATGAGTTGCGAGCGAAAGGCGATGGAGGGAAGACCGCTAAGCTGGCGGAATAAAAGTTCGTCGAGACGTTACCTCCTTCCGGCGTGACGGCGAATGCGCGCTGAGGTTTACAGTCTATAGGTCAAGTCCCTCGTGACTCGCCGACCCGGCCGGAATCCACCCAGCGCCCGGCGGAGTTCGTCCGACCTCACGCCGTAAAATCCGCCGACAACTTTCTTGCCTCGACGGAGGTGGCGACGACATGGCCGCGATCTTGTACGGGATAGGAGGCGACGCTGTCAAAATCGTGAGAGTCGAAACATCTGGGCGAGACCGCACTGGTGAGACTGGGAGAGTTACGCGAACCAACCCACCGTATGAAGTGGTGGTCAGACGTGTCGGGGGAACAACTTCGGGAGTGTTCCTTTGGGATGGATGTAACGTTCCTTAATCGTCGCATGAGCTCGAAACTCCTTAAAATGTTCACTCTCGGATCCCGCATCGAGGCGAGTGGCGTTTCTACGCCGCCATCGGTGTCGACGTCACATCCATGACGATGATCGGGATGAGCGTGGAAAGCTCGTTCGTTTCCTAGCGGCACACGGCGTTTCGGTTCGATTCGAAGTGAACCTGCTCGACCGTCCTGAACGATCTGCTCGAGTGAACTCCCTTCGAAGCAGAACAAACTAATGAATATGAAAGGAGAAAACTTCGAGAAGTTTTCGAGCGGCTCCAATTCATCGTCGCAGGCCATCCGTTCGCGCTCGGGGGAGAGCAAGCAGCGCATGGATGGAAAAACTGTTTCGCGAAATCCCAATGATTCCCGCGGAAATGTCCCTCATGATCTATCGTATCTCTCTCCCGATCGTTTGTCTTGACACAAATCGAATTTTGATGTCGTTCCTCACGAAACGAAAATTCCGTTTTTCAGAATATGGTACCGCGAAACATATCCTCAGTTCCGGAGTTCATCTCATGCTGGACGGATCGGTAAGTTCTCACGAAATCCTGGATCGATCGCTCTAGTTCTGGATCGACGCGTTCTGATCGGGGAGCCAGATGGGAGCAACCAGATAGATTCACTCGTTCGATGCGTTATCAGCATGAGAACGAGAAGGAAGCGAGGCTCGTACAGATCATCATTTTCCAATTTTGCCGTCTGGGGAGAATCCCATTTCAAACACCCGAGTCCGGATTTTTCCGCGGCCCAGTCCACAACTCACGCCTCTTCTCGGTCTGATACCTTTTCTCCTTGCTCCCTTCTCCCCCTCGGCCGATGATTTCGCCTCCCGCTGAAGTGAAGGTAGTGGGAGCTGGGACTCCCACGTTCATCTTCCTCCGAGCCTCATCCCTCGGAGCTTTCCGTCACTTCCCCTCCGATTCGGATCCCTACTCTACCTCGAGCTCCGAACTCCGACGCTCCCTACATCAAAACCAGTGAAGTCGTTCCCGAGTCGTTCGGTCGCTCCAACGCTTTCCTCGTTGCCCGACCTCTCCTTCTTCTTCCCCGACCCGCGATGTGTGCCGGCAAGCACTTCTCCGTGACGCCCACCGGGATGTCGGTCTGCTTTGCTTTGACTCTTTCTCCTCGCAGGAACCATTGTTTAGAATTGCTTATTCTCGGGTCCGTAGTCGCTACTGAACCTACGACCCCCACGTTTCGCGCCGAAATCCTGGGATGGGCGAAATGAGGTTCGGAAAACACAGTCACGGCTGTTGCCGGCCCTTGACTTGCGACCGGCAGGAACGCGGTCGCTCCACCTCAGCAACGATTCCCTGTTGCTATTCGCATGGTCCGAGATCTTCGCCGGTACCAAATGTAAAACGAGATCGTGGCAGCCGCGAAATGGAGTCGAAGTGGGCGCGCAGATTTTCAGCCTTCGGAAGTCTGCTGAACTCGGCAGATTAGACTGGAAGCGTTCTAGAGCGAAGTTGACCCCCAGAGAAGGAATCGATTCCATCAAAAATAGCCGTTGCTCCTACGAGGCGGCTCCGGCGATCAAGGAACGAAATTAGAGAGAAAAAAATAGCGGAGCGAAACTCGAGTCGAAAAATCACGTCGTCGATCGTGGCTCACGGAGCCGCTCGGACTCCCCGGACTCGGACAAATTTCCTGCGGGGAAAAGTTTGATTTCTGAAGGTAGACAGAGAGATGATGACTGTCGGGAATCGAATCCTCTCTGAAGCGTCGGATAACCCAGAGTTTCGCGGCGATTGAAATATTTTTCCTCCAAAACAGGAGCATTCCGAGAGTCTCAGCTTGGAGCTGCAACGCCATGTCATGAGCTCTGCAAAGACCTGGACTCGCTGATTCCTTGCGTGTGCTCCAGGATACAGTTGGCGGGCTAAGTTTTTTCGAGCTCGCCCCCATGCTCTGTGCGTTTGAGCTCACGGGAGCGACGGAGGGTCGCTAGAAAGAGCGTTCCAATGAGTTCCCGCTTCTCGATCCCCATTCGGAGGCGAAACCGAATCGGTGATACCCGGGAGATCGAACGTCAGCCGGCTCTCTACGAAGTAGAATGGGTCCAGCTCGGAGAATATGCCCATTCTACCGGAGCAGTACACTGTTGCTCCAATAGAAATCTCTTGTGATTTCTCCCCGCAAAGCTCCGCTGAATGAGGTATCGATCGAGTCCGGCGGGATTCTGAACCTGTTTCGCCCGGTGCAGAGAGATCGTCACGAATCGGAAGGAAGAACCAGCTTACGCTGAACTCCCCGAACTCCTTTTTCTTCCTGCTCGAGCGGCCGCTTACGTCATTGTGAACACGGTAAGCCCTCGGCAGTTTGTTCCTAACGCGAAGCCGATGAGCCGTAGTTCCTGACTTTGGTCTCCTCCGGTGAGAACTGACTCGGGCTCCTTCGGCTGTCCCCTACCAGCTGTTTCCGAGCCTTGTGGATCCTCAGCCGGCTCGTCCCATGAGCTCGGACAGAATTTTAATTTTGTCAACGATATTAGGACTGAATTCAGAAACAGGAACGCTCCGTCCCTTCCGTCATCAGACCGCACCTGGAGCGTCTCGAGGCGGAGTCGAGAACTTGAGGGGCTCGAGAGGACATTTTCATTCTTCTGAATGAGCCGCTCGACTCTCCCAAGAGCTGAAGAGAGTCCGAGTCTCCCGAAGGCTCCCGCATCCACTCGGATTTATCCCCGTGTTTTTCCCGTTCGGTGACACGCCCTCTAGAGATTTGATACATGGCAAGGCAAGCGAGCTCCGAAGAGGTCTTGCAAACTGGAACACTTGCGACTTGCGACTGCTTCTTCGAGTTTTCGTCTTCTTCTTCTTATTCCTCCTCCCTTGCGAGTCCGTGCCATTCCAACGATCGGCCTTCGAGGGTTTCCTTGTCTCACCGGTTCTCTCTAGGGAAAATATTTGATAGGTACTTTAGATGCGAGATAATTCTTGCTCAATGGGGACAAGGAAGTTTGTTTTGTTGATACTCTCTCGAGCTCTGCCGAGAAACTCCGTCGAGTTTCAGCGGGCGACCGAGGCCCGTCAACTTCGTTCCTCTGTCATGCGGGAGCCATCTATCACTCCATGAATGCAACATAGCAGAGATTGGATGCGTGCCAACGTCCTAATTTCCAGGTGTAACTCCCAAACTTTCCCATCTCGAATATCAACTCTTTCCCCGCGATACAAAGTCAGAGCGAATAATATCGCGGCTCATTTTGCAGTTCAACTCAAAGCTCACGGAGTTCCGCGAACGAAAGGCCCACCGCTCGTCGGGACGAAAGCCTTGACATTGAGACTGGAAGTTGTCGCGAGAAGGGAAGAGTACGCTTGTTGTTTTCAATTCCAAACACATCAGACGCATTTCGACCTTCGGATGTGGACTACGGATCGAGCGAATCGAGATTGTCCGCTGCGATCGGATTGGGGATCACATCCGAGAGCTGATGACGGAACTTGGAAACTCGAAGCATCGATACGGAGAATTATCGATAGCATCGAAGACCCTTCCGCAAATATTCGACTGCCGGTCGATCACCGAACTGATACGGAGTAGCTCTTCAAACGACGCTATGCATCGGTGGACAACTCGCATCACGTACGAGGCCACTCGCTCTTCGTCCGATATCAGAACGGGTCGCGTGGGCTCGCTACATGGTTGGCTGATAGCTAGCTTGATTTCGATTTTTCGTCCTCGTCGATTCAGACACCGACGTTCGATTCAGCAGTGGGCACATCGACGTAGCGTGTCATCTGCTACGATGATTGGTACAGCGGGGCTTGGGAAAAGCTCGTGATAGCCTCCAATATCCACTGCATCATCAGTTACAACGAACGCTATAAACGATCGCGGCTCCCGAGTTTTCCGTGTCGATAACGATGGTGATCCACAGCGCAACAGCAGCAGCGGCATCAACATCGTCATTAACCTCATGGAAGTTGGAATGATCCGGGACCGACAATGATACTCTGCCTGGTTCAATTTTAAACTTCCGTCCCGGTGAGCGGAGCGTCAGTGACGGGACCTCGACTGAATCCGCCGAGAGCTTGAAGTTCCCTTACCCGGTATTTTCTGCCGACGTATTTTGTCGATGAGCGAATGGACCCCAATTTTCGATTGCTGGAGCCGACCCTCGACCATCGGCAGCATTGAACGACGAGGGAACTCGGTCAGTGGAGTCTGGCCGTTTTCTTTGCATTCTCATGCACTCTGAGGAAAATTAGTGGCTGCATGCTCGGTATGATCGACTGCTACGGCTCGTCCCAGCTCAAAACAAGAGCCTCTGGCAAATTTCCTCGAGAGTTTCGAGGGGATGTTGTTGCGAGATGATTGACAGGACGGTCGTTACCTTCTTCTAACCTTTTAGAGCGGTCTCTCAAATGTCGTAAATCTCTCCGACCGACGAGAACAAGGGCGACAACAACGTCGAGCTGTTGCGCGGGGAGCGTGATTCTTTTCTCCTGTTGCGACGAAGGGTTGTAGCCGGAGCTATAGTCTTCGACGTCAACGTATACGCCGCGCCTTCGGGAGGCGTCTTTGTTGTCCGAACGAGACAATCACATCGAGCTGCCCGAGACGTGACGTATACTCGCCCATCGGGTGAGACTGTGTGTGCGGGGGAAATGCCTCGCACTAGGAGCAGTGTCTGTGGCGGACTTCCCGATCGACTGCGGGTAGACCGTGCGCTCGAATAGCTGTGTTGTTTAAGCTGTGGGGCGCAGTTTTTTTCTCGCTCAAAAACGGAAATTGCGCTTCCGTTTCGGGATTTGTGGGAGCTCTATCACCTGACGGGACCCGGTCGGGACTCATTTGCGTCCTGAACCATCGCAAACGATGGAAGTGTAGCTCTCTCGAACGCGCTCGAAGCGGGAGATTGCTCCCCATAGCTCGAGGAATGAAACCGCAGCTCCGCTCGTGTACCCATCGACGCTGACATCGACTGGGCGATCGAATTTCCAAGCCCTTGTTCAACGAGCTTCTTAGGTCTACCCATTCATCTAGCCAATCAAATTGGAGAGTATCTCTCCCATCATCTTGCTTGATTCGCCGAGGAGATCTCAAATTGGGTCGCGAGGTCGCCATAAAAATAGAGAACTGGATCTGCCGTTTTCTTCTGTAGAAATCCGGTCGAGATCTCTGATTGCGTAAAACGCACAATTTCGCAACCTCTCATCTCTGCGAGGTACCTACCTTGACGGATACCGAAAGTCCATCAGAGCAGCAAAAACCCATCTGCCGGTGCGCTTCGATGGGAATAAACACAAGGGACGGGAAATAAGGGGAGGTACGGAAAAAATGGAGGGAGTCCAATATCCGGTGCGGGAAGAGCCGCATTCTTCTCCCGTGGGCGGAGTCCTTTGCTCGCAGATTGCGAGATGGTATTCAAACCCTGTCCTCTCCTTATTCATCCGGCGCTTTGTCGTCCTTTAATCTCGAGTCCGTGCTCTAATATCTCATTCTCGCAAGGTCATGCCTCAGACCACTCCTGCTCTCTCAACTTCCCCCGGGTCACCGGGCTATACGTTTCCATGCGATTTCCAAATCATCATATGTTCTCCATCTAGGCAACCTGCGGGCTCAGTCAAACAAGTGAAGCCCGCCTCCGTTTACGATCGCTCACTGAGCTAATGTTCCAGTCGCCTCCCACACCGGGATCAATCGGAATCCTTCCGGAACTCGTATCAGGAGAGGGCAGTCACTCGATATGTTCATCAGATAGACGCTAGCAAATAGCACGACAGCGGAACCGGTCTTTGACGGGTTGCCGATATAAAGCTCTGTACGGTATGAGTCGGGGCATAGTCAATCTGCGGCTCCACCCGAGATTGATTGACGGGCGAGTTCTCCTGCCAACCTATTTGTTCACAAAGACGGAACGTCAAAAAGCGTTATCATCGTTCTCCTATTAATCGCCTCGCTCTCAGTAATCTCGCTCGTACTTCATCTCTCCCATTCTCCGAGCCGCATCGAGCCATAAACATTACCGCTGTTTGGCAGTCGTATATGCAAGAAAACGACATTCTATTATCACGAGGCGGGACTCCTCGGAGCCCAGGCTCTCAGCAGGAATCGATCTTGACTCGGTCTCCTCCTCTAGATGCTCTCGAGAGCGGGGCAAGCACTTGTCTATTGGCGCCGCGTGCGGTGAGGTGTCACGCCGGATTGGAACACGAAGGAAGCAACGTCCTCGCGCGAAAACAATGGCTGCCCTGCGATCATCGTTCGGAGACATTCGACCTCCACATGGAGGAGGACGCTCCGACGCTCTCCGAATCGATTTCCCTCGTCGAGGGAGAAAATATAATAGGTACCGCGTCGAATGGTCCTCGATTCGTTTTCGTTCCGGGGAAATATTCGCTCGTTTATGCGACGCCGTTTCCTTCGGCGTTGACGGCTCAGACAGTCACGTATTGCGGAGCTTTCGCCTGGTTAGAACGTCCCGTTCGCTCACGTTAGAGAAGAGTCAGAGATTTAGCTCGTAAGGCTTCTGAAAGATCGAACGGGGAAACGGGAATCAGATGAACCGTGCGAAAGGGAGCCCGTGCGGCGATAGGAACGAACTCGAACGGAGCAGTATGCGAAGCCCGACCGACCGCCCCTCTTCCCACCGTCTATCTCCCGCATAAGCTCCTGGAATCGTCGTCGTTGCTGTCGACGTTCCCCGTTCCCGCACTCCCGTCGCTAATTGACGTTCGATGGAGGGAAGCGAGTGCGGTTGGCGTTGTTGTCATTGTCGTCGCGCCGCTGCCACGGCCGACTCCGTTGTTGCTGCTGTCGTCGACGTCAACGTCGGTCGGCAGCGGCCGTTGTTTCTCCGGCAGAAGCGAATCAAGAGCTTCTCATGAAGTCGAATCATTGCGGGCTTTGGTTTCGAAATATCTGAGAGAAGGGCTCGGAAACGGGTTTGAGAGCTGGAACCTGGAACTCCCTGAAAGCATCTCGATCCAGGACGATCGGGGAGCTGTTGACCCCCCGGAAATGAAGAATAGAACGTCCCCTCCGAAGGAATACATATACGTCGAGAAGAGGAGGAAGGAGGAGGAAAGAGCCGACGGATGGGCAAGAACGTAGTCACTCGCTTCATTAGCTTCTTCTCCTACCGACTGCTCGTCGAAGCCTTCCTGCACGACGCTCATTACCGTAATTGACTGAAAAATCTCGGAGCGAAGACGAGCAAAAAAAGACGAGGGATATAAGGGAGGGAACTCCAAGGAGGACGGTGATAATAGAGCTTGGTAGGAAAATCCCCCATGGATCCTGTTCAAGTTCTCATTTTCCCTCCGAATACAAAAATGTTGTACCGAAGATTTTGATGATGCGTATTCTGGGTGGATGAAGTCGGATTGGCTGGTGCTCAGAATCCAGAATCGATTCTTTTTCTGAGTAATACGCGAAAGCGCGTCCCCTCTCTCAGACTGCGTCAACAGCTCTGCCCGGAGGACAGACGTAAATATGTTCTATTGACGTCTATCGACTGCGTTCCGTATTCCACGAGGGAAACGACGGATCGGAGCATCGACATAAACCAATGGCTTACGTTCGTACGAGTCCGGTTGTCATCGAGAATACGTTCCCACGGAAACCCATATTTCTTGACTTCAATCCACAACTATAATATGCATGTATGTATTTCGATATGACGATGGCGGGATATCGGAATTCAGTCCAAGCGTGCTCATTAGCGCTCCATGGAGATCATCGCGGCCACCGGCGTCGTTGTTGTCGTTCTCCGAGCGCGTCGTTACGTGTTACCATCGTGACGTCGACGTCCCTTCGTTGTCGCATTTCAGCGGCTTTCGAATGTTACAAAGGCCGCTGCTTGGCTCGCAGGAGCAGCCGTGACGCTGGCGTCCACCGTGAGCTGATTAGCAGACTCCAGGTCTATACTCGTCGTTCGGGAATTACTCACAGCCATCAATGGCTGTGCGGCTTCCTCTCCGCTCAACTCGCTCGACTGCGTCGTCCATCCTAATTGACTTTAGAGCTATTCGAGACTTGGGAGGTGCAGGTTCTGCGTTACCGCAGAACGGCATTGTTCCTCTCAGTCAATCACCGGCTCGACTTCAGCTTCTGGAGCAGAAGCGTCCCGGAGATGTTGAAATGGATCGCTGCTCCGGCACCCCGTATGTAGATATTCTCCGTGAATCTGCTCTTTCGACGGGAGATCGCGATCCTCCTCGAGCTGAATGAGCCTCCTTTTCCTTTATCCTCCTGGGAAAAGGATGTGGGAGAGCTGGCGACAGGAGAATGAATAAAAAAGGCGGCATCTTGGGACGGGCTTTCATTATACCGTTATTGATTCCAAGGAACAACAGGCGCCCCTGATTCAACCGTTTTTTCCTCCGCCCTGCCTCTGTATCCTCATATTGCCGTCGTCTTCTGCTCACATAGCACCCTGAGTCTTCAATCCAGGTTTTTTGGTCGTAGCTCCGCCGAGTTTTTTCCCCGCTTGTCAGAAAGAGCCGAATACATCGGAGCCGCTGAAATATTGCGGAGAGATGTCGGGAAATAAGGAGAATATCCTCTCTTGTTGATCGCTTGCAGGACTTCGATCCAAAACGTAGCTCTCCGCCAAGGCTCATGTGTTTGAGCATAGCCTTCTAATCTGTGCTCGGAAGTCTCCGAGCGGCTAGCGTTCTGAGGGCAGCGGTGGACGAATCATAGAAGCGGAGGCGATAGTTCAATGGGAGGCGGAGTGGGCGTCATCGGGGCTCACCAGCCTTAATTAAGGTACGGCCTGCTCTCCTTTGTCGCTCCGATTTTCTCGCGCCAGCCATCGACAGCTTGAAGTGGCGTCGACCACTTCAGGGTCCTGGAAGGACGAGCAAGCCGAGAGCGAACACGGGGATCGGGGGCAATCGAGTGCGACCGGCAACCATGAAGGACCAGACATTGCTCGAGGACACGAATATCGAGTGGGGTTCGAGCTCCTGAAACATTTGACCGTGAAGCTTAGCCGCAACGACGGAGGACTTCCGGGGAGTTTTCCATCAGGGTCCGCGACGATGCTTTTTGATAGAGCAATTATTATTGCCCTCAATGATCATACGTTCCGGTTGGCCTTACCACGCAAACGGGGCGGATGTCGATCTTCCCGTTTGGACATTTCCCTGCTGTTTTCCGTCGTCTGTTTCACTTGTCGTCTAAGATAATATATAGACGTGTCATTCCCCATGGTGTGGCTCGCCGCGAGCGTCCACCCACACAGCAAGCGTCTCCCAATCACTGTCGAGTTCGAATGGATGGCGGAAGAGGAATCACAGAGAGGTATCGCAGGGTTCTTCTCGCTCCGGGTTTGAGCTCATATAGTTGATCCCGATTCCTTTTCATCGCGTCCCGTTGCCTCAGCGGATGGAAAGATCGAAGGGATGATGTTTTCCCTTCCTCTCGATGTGATTTCTGATCCATTATGCATGATTCACAAACAGCAGTATGAGAGAAGAAGAACGCACCGGACCCGGTCGATCGATCCGATGGAGCGCATTCACTCGTCCGTTTACCGTGGCGAAGAATTCTTCGATTCCGAGGGAAGCTTCGTAGACTATTCGATCTCGGCGGTATACCCAACCGTGCAGACATCGATGCCGGCGAAGGTTTCTTGTTTGCAAAGCAATAAACTCTCCGTTGGAGGTCTAGTTTATACGTAGGAGGCAAACTAATGTAAATTGATGGAATTCGCTCGTCTAAAAGCCCGCAGGTCGTCGAGGGAATTAGTTGTCTGAACACGGAACCTTGAGGAGAAAGAGACGTTGCCAGGTTGGACGTCCGTGACATCGATTTGAATATCCGAGATTCTTTTTGCTGCCCTGGTAGAGTTAATTTTTCAGATTCAGAATGGAGAGAATCGTCGAATGCGGCAAACTCGCTTCCCGTTCCCTATAATGAGGGATATAAGACCCCAACGGAGAACTCTCGAACAAAGTTCTGAAAATGATCCGGATGCTTCGTGTTCTTTATCATTTCCGGTCTGAGAGCGGCAAATACTCTGTAGCACGTCAGGTCCCGACTCGACTTGGAAATCTTTCAAGGGGATCAACTGGTTACGCGTGCGACTGGAGATGGGCGAATGGGCGGGCGAAGGTAGCGGAAATCTTGGAAATGGGAAGGATCGAGGAAAATCGGGGATGGGTCGGATCGGGGAAATTTCGGACACCGGCAATGCCTAACCATGGGTGTTCGTAGATCCATCATCCGCTCTGCATTGAGCCGACCGAGCTGCGGAGGAGTCAGCTCGAGATGAAAGGAATACGGTCCTGTGACATAAGTAGTATCGCAGGATCATCAGGATCAATAAAACCATGTAGCATGAAATCCGTCGAGAGCTCGTCAACTATATCCTACGCTTTCCGGATTCTGACGTATTAATTTTTCTCGTTCCAGGCTATGAGCGTGAGACCACGCTCGCATCCCGGTACTCCGCAATCGCCGCCGCCAGCCATGGGGGAATACCACGCATCTCCGAATGTTAATGCTCCCATTTACATAACTAGTAGCAACAGCCATCATCTCCATCACCAACAGCACTTCCATCTAAACAACAATGGCATTGGCAACAGCACCAGCCACAACAATAACAACATGAACAACAATAATAATAACAGCATCCCGAATAGTACAACCCTCGTACTTCATCAACAAGCGCCCAACACCCTGCCTGGTAAGAGCCTGCTGCCGTCTACGATTCCTGTCTCAAGTATATCAGTCGGTCGGCCGCTCGTCGAGGAGCGCTAGAAAAATCAGCCATGGGGAGAACACGAGATTCGTCCGTGTATGCATGTGCCACGTCTACGGCTCTTTTTGAGAAAGGAGCGAATCGGGCTCAACGTTTCGTGATTGAGGAATTTTGGCTCTCTCCCAACTGCCGCGGATGAAATGGGTCGATCGCGTTCCACTGTTGCCTACGTTACTTTCACGTTTGTTGTCGAAATCGCTGCTGCGAGCAAGATGACCCGGATGGTCCCCCCGCTCTGGGAGCACGGCCTCTATTCGGCGTCAGAGGCTGTGAGCCTCAGCTTCAATCAATCTGGCTTTCACTTGATAGAATTTCTGTACCTACCCTCCTACCTCTCTTCCGCCATCGAAAGTGCAAGCCGGTGGATTGATGGAGGGATGGTCGAGGAGAGAAATGGTGGAATTAGATGAGGAGCGCGATGGTTGTTGCCACCGACTGGGGACGCTCCGTGGCTGTCACGGTCGGATGAGGAGCAAACCACGTCGAACGAAGCACCTCTACGTCGTGATACGAGTAAAAGTTGGGAATATTTTATGCTAATGAAAACAAGCGCCGAGGGCTTATTGTAGGAAGGCTTCTGAAAAGACCGGGGGACCGACCTCGTGGAACATGGAGAAAACGCGAAGGGCGTCATTGGTGTCCTCCGAGTCGGGAGTCCGTGGAGGGAATCTGCTTTTTACCCCGGGTTCGCTTGTGCGACGACGAGCTCTCGACATTCCGGCTCGAGGAGTGGGCGTGCAAGCAACATGCTCGACATTTTTCTATTCCCCTGTTCATATGACGATGCGAAGTAGCGGATTCTATACCTTATTCACGCATTGCCTAGCATATCTCTGACGGAAAATCCGTAATTTTCCAGTGACACCGGCGGGATACTCTGGAGGGGATGTGAGGAATTCCAGTTCCAGTCTGGATTCTGGTCGCGGTTCGAGCAGCTCGAGCTCAGAAGCCTCTTCATTCGGATCGAATAAGGTTTGTACGAAATTCGCACTTCCGCGCGACTTTGAGTTCCCCGAGGGTTGGAGAACGAATCCGGCAGAGATTACACGAAAAAAGAAAGCCTCAACTATTTCCGGAAAATACACACATGGCTCAGTGAAGTCTCATGGAGGACGCCAGCGCAGCGACGTCCCACGCTCTCTGCGCGTCTGAATTCTCAACATCATGCTTGTGATAAAATAAGCACCTATCCTTTTCGATCGGGTGCGGGGTCGCATCGACTCCATCCTATTCGCATGCCTTCACTGGCTGATCGTATGGATGTATGTACATATGTTCGACAGACCAAATGAACGGAAGAACGAACAAACGGTCATAGCCGCACGCACCCGCGCGTATCTGCCAGAGATACATACTAGGTACATTGACTGGTGTTTCGCTCGCTCGCTCGCTTCGGTATGGATGGAGCGGGTTTTGCGGATGGAACGGAAGAAGTAACATTTCTCGGGTAATAATTTCCGCAGGATCCGTTCCGCTTATCTTTCGCCTGCGGGTCTGCGGGTTCAGCGACAAGTCTTTCTGTGAGTTCGTGTTCTTCATCGTCCTCGAGCGATGCCTCGTCGCCCAACAACGTCAACGTCGCGTCGCTCCTGCTCAGTGGAGTACCGGTAAGTTCAACCGGGCCCGAATAATTAGGTATTTGGATCACTCAACAGTTTTTGAATGATCTGGAGTCGGACTATAGGTTCGTACAAGGAATCAGTGGATCAGGAGATTCTCGTAGTCGAGCTGAGAGACGCTATGGAGATACATTGAGGTCTATTCCGGGTATGTGAAGCTCTCTTCTGTCGCGACGACGGTGGTATTTCGCATTAACTTTTTTGCTCCATCTTCGTCGTCGCGCGACTTCAACGTTTTTTTTCGGTTCGCCACGTCGCGCCGCGACAAGTCGAGCCTGAAAACACTCCCGCTGCTAGGGTATGACTCCAGGCTTTATTTTGATATGCGCTCAAGCAGCGATTTCTGTGCCAGCGCCGTCCTCGCGCATCGCGAGTTCGGCCGCCAACGCGGTTGCTTTCTGCTCTTCCTCGCGAGGCAGAACTCGCAGAAGTCTCATCGAGAGCCCTAAAGCAATTTAGTATTCAAAAGTTTTCTTCCGGAATTGCGGTCGGAGCCGGAGACAATCAATTATGAGCAACGACTCGAGCTCCGAACCCAACTCGCGCGGTGCCGGCCTCGAAGCGAGTTCTTTCCTTCTCGGTTGACTCCGACATCGTTCGGCATGAAACATTTTTCTCCCATCTTCGGAACGCCGACAACGCGATGTACCTAATTATTCCGTCTCTGAGAGATTCGGAGTGGGTTCGGAACAGATCGGTTCGGGTACTCTCGAATAAGCCGAGACGGAGTAGAGAGGAAAAATTTGGGAGAGATATTCTACAAGAACGAACAAGGTGGTTTTTGGAAGACCACTCAGCTAACTGAGCAACTTCTGTTGGACGAAGACGGACTGCTGAACCAGTTTCTGTCGATCCTTCCACTGCCCGGTTTCGCCTCCACGATCCGTCCAGGACGACGGACAGACAATTGAGGGTTGCGAAAAGGAGCCTGCGCTGGTCTATAAGAGAAAGCATAAAAACGAGTGAGAACGAAGAGTGTGAGGGTTCGGGTCGTCGACGAGGGCAGACAAAGCAACTTTCCTCCAAGATGAATGGATGAAGACGGACTCAACGGCATCGGCTGCGACAGACAACGGTGACGGACAGCACTGACAGGGGACACCCTTTCCGAGTGTCAACTCGGATTTCCGAACCGAGCGATCGAAACTCTGACCGCTCAGAACGCCTCGAAAGAGAAAGCCCCAAATTCGCCCGTCCTTTCGAAGCCTGGGACGTGAGACCAAACGACGGGAAGCCTGAAGATAAGAAACATTGTTTAGGATTATTGAAGTCTCCTTGTGTTTGAACGCGGCTTCGATTATCGAACGGCGTAGCGATAATTAAAACAAAAACGCTAATGACAATCGAACAGCTCTCGCTCAATTTCTCCACCGGTTGCCGAGCATCTTTTTCCCCCGGCTGAGAAGGAGGAATTTGCGCGAAACTCGCAGCATAGGCTCCTCTGGGATGCTCAGGTGGCTGTTTGCAGGGTTGCGGAAGACGGAGGGAAGAAAGAAGGAAAAGAGGAAGAGCACGTGACGCCGAGGGAGGCACTTGAGGTTCGTTCGTTCGACCAAAAATGTCTCTGGCCCTCAGGCGGCGCCGAGCAATTTGGAGCAACGGGCGAGCGTGGACCGCGTAAGAGGACGTAAACACTGATGCTACTGCAGCACAAATCGCGACGTTTTTTACGCTCTACCTACGTGAGCACAAGCTCACCGCTCGTGCACGACAAAACCTCCTCCTTCTCTTCCGGCTCCCCGAAGCGCCTGAACTGCTTTACCCGGAGCTTCGCCTTGCCCGCCGCGACGCATGTTTGTGCTTACGGGAACAATCAAGGGCAAATCTGGAGCATCCCCGGACTGCTGATTCACTCAAAACAAACTTCATGGCTTAGGGTGACGTTTTTACAAACCCCGTGATTATTCGACGCCATGTATCCGATGTTCCTATCTGACGGAGACTCCGACGGGGATCCGGACGGAGGCCCCGTGGAAGACTCCCACGCGGAATCTCACGCGGGACCTGCGTAAGTCCTGTCGAAAACTTTGTCGGGAAATCAAGAAGAAATCAAGAGTGGGAGCGAGCACTTCCTCCGCCTTGAACGTATAGTATGTTTCACACTCAGGGTGCTGGACGCGTTGACCACGGGACCGTATCGTCGGTCAAAGTGAGGAGACGGTTGCTTCTGCTTTCGCTCTTCGAGAGCCCGCCATGCCGCCAGGGGCCTCACTCACTCACTCACTCGCGGGAGTGGATCTGGTCGCTATGATTTCCCTCGCATGTCGAGCCGTAGCGTTCGCTGGCAGAACATCTCGCCAAAAACGAAGCTCAACGGGAGCTTGTCTCACGAGACTTTCTCAGACAGCCTTCAGCATCAACTACATACACTGAGAGCACCGCAGCGGCCGTCGACGCAAACATACGAACGTAGCGCAATATTCAGTCAGAGAGTGCGCCTTCGAAGCTGGCTTGACTGTATGAATCCTTTCCTGAAGCTCCCCGATCGGGTTTATTCATTGTGCCCCGGGATGCGATTCCAGGACCGTGTCCCCGGGAACTTTGGGGGAGAAGAATCCGCAGCATCGGAAATCATGGCGAAAATCGAACGCCGCTGTCGGCCGGCATTGTGTTCCCCATATTTTAGAGAGACAAAGGCATGGATCAGGAGGCGAGAGGCGCGCGGAATTCTCGGTATGGAGTCCTGCGTTTCTCCACGAAATAAACGTCCCGTCTTATCCCTTGTTCAAGACAAGTGTCGGTTCCGCTCTCGACACGCTCGCCAGATCACTCGCTTACTCCGTCGTCGGGGCGTAACGCGCATCGCGCGTGCTCACGAACGATGACAGAGTCGAGAGTTGATTTCCTCAGATTGAGGACGTATGCGAAGAATTGAGAAGGACATCCGATGATTTTGAGCCCTCACGAAAAAACGAATATTCGGAATTGGAGAGCGCCCGCCACCGGGAGGAGTTGAGAGCAGAACGGAACCCTCTGAAACTCCGAAAGCCTGCTGGCACCGAAGACTTTTACGTCGTCTGAACCGCCGCGGGCTCCAGGAGGGACGCATCCCTTCGGTGCATATTTTAATTTCTTTTTTATTCAGAAGAGGTTCCTCATCATCTACTATCCGGTCGCTCGATGCATATCTGCTATTCATTGTCGGGCCACTGGTTAGAGCTGATCATAACGATTCTCGCGATCAGGAAGCTCGGCGCGATAACCGAGGAAAAGACGTGAGCGCCGACGGCACGTTTGACGGTTTTCGAATCACAGTCGCGAGTACTGGTCTGCGGAATTTGGAATGGCTGTCGAGACGTCGACTCGGTCGCCACGAAACATCGCGTATGTTCCGGTACCGGAGCGGGGCACAGGCAGACCTCGCGACGTAAGAAGTCGATTGTTCCAAGCGGGGCGCCTTCGCGCACCTCGCCTAATTCCCGAGATCAACTCACCCTTGGGACGTTGTGAAGTAGACGCTAATCAGGACAAAATATGCTTCTATACAAAGTATTAGGTTTGTTACGGTGGGATTCACCACGGCTCCGTTAATGTTCGCAAGAGAGGGGGCAGCGACGGCAAGCGTTCGCCGACGAGCGCACGCCAACGAGTGGCGAAGACGCAGATGATGAAGGAACGAGGTAGTTTCCGCAAGACAGGACAAGTTGTGCACTGTCGGCAGAGTTCGTCCGAGCTCATCTATCTTTTCGGCTCCATGCCGGGCTTGGTAGGTTAATGGCCGTGGACAATGTTTATAGACGCTCGTGGTCGTGGGAAACGGGCGACTCGAAGAGGAGATCGCGGAAGAACCGGTTTTCTTCTTCCTCGAATGAAGCTCGTCGCGACGCGTTAGCATGCCGGACACGCGAACTGTGCGCCTTCAGCTCAGGATGGACGGCGTCTAATGAAACGAGACTTAATCTCGAAGCTCAAATATTGGTGCGGTCGTCGGCTGAGTGTCCTGCGCGGGGAAAAATCGACACCTTGTAAACGTTGGAGATTACTAAGTCTCGTCGCGGCTGAAGAGAGAGTGTCGGGGGAAGCGTGAGCTCGCGATCTCCGTGGAGCAACACCCTCTTGTCCCGTCTTAGCCTACTACTCTCTTTTGTCACGGATCCTCGTCGAGGGCTCCTCATTTTTCCCCGATGAGTGAGGTCATTGTGTCCTATGTTCAATTCTCGCAGTCTCCGCAGGTTTGGCCCAAGTGCTTTCTATGCGACCTCTCCCTCCTCCATTCACTCAGTATTGTTCGGGTATTATCCTCATTAAATCAGCGAATTCTTTTGTGTCATCCTTCGACCGATAAGACGGTCCTCGACGGTAACGGTTGAATCCTTATTGTATTACGCCGACGGCACTCCCCGAAGGTTTGCT